TTTTAATGTCATGAATTGTGCGCTCAACTTCAAAGAAGCGTGCGCTTCACTTCTCGCTTTTCGCTTCAAGTCCTATGGACCATGTCGCTTTTTTGTGCTTCCTCATCAATCCTTCATAACCATTTCCAAGCAAAGCTCTATTACTGTTACATCCCTCATCCCCAACAGACCATCCTTAATAGGAAAATTGATGTTACCCCTGTCAGTAGGTGAAATTTTTTTCTTACTTCCATTTTCATCTGAGAAAAAATACCTATACAGCTGCTCAATTTTCTTAGTCCTTGCTCCAGGCATTTCTACGAGAGACAGGTCGTAAGTAGACAGGTTGATATACTACCTGCTCCAACTTACACCCCTTAGAGAGGTATTGTTTCTTCTCTCCTCCGAGCTCGATCTGATATGAATTGTGATTAGCAACTAAAGGCAACCACAAATACATAAGGATTGCTGATTTTACACCTATAAACCTGATTCGACTTTTCTAGGTTCGTGATATTACTATTGGAATCATCCTTAAATTGATCTTAAGTTCTGACATTGATTGGGAGCACAACAAAACTCCTATTACGTGCTTAGTTGGCTTGATTAGCATCACAACTAAAGTATCACGGTAAACAACCAGGGAGTCATCGACCACATCCTTAGGTCCACTTGTTGTATCTTAGAAGCCATTAATAGCCCCCTGTGCTGTGATGCGCCAGAGAAACAGAAAGGAAAGCATAGTTGGGAAAGCAAAACTTCAAGGAAAAGCTATAACCACTAATTTCTTAGAGCAAATGAACTATATGTCTCCATAAACTAGTTCTCAACCTGTCCCATTATCCCTGTTATAGGTTTAAAACAGCCACTGTAGAGCCCTTAAACTTAAGATCAGTATCAGACCCTTAGCTGACGATTAGCCCGACTTTTGATTTCTATTTGATGCTTATTGAACTTTTACTTGGAGTGCTTCAACGCTGCAGCAAATGCACATAGAATTATTAGAACTTTTAGGATAAAACTAGCCTTTGTTACCGTTAGTTATGTGTAGTCCCACATTGGAATGGGAGTAATATGTACTTTGTAGACTATAGCTATAAATAGGACCTCTTGTATTATATTGAGTATCTAATATCAATAATATATTTTCTCCCGTGCTTTTTCACATTAGTGAGAAAAGATCGTTGTGCGTCATTCCAGCGTTAATCGGGAAGAAAGAACTTAGTCATCGTACAATTTTTCCGGTGACCTAAGGCCTGTCTATGTGAAAGTCACTTTCTGTCGGTGTTGTGCTAAAACCAACACCACCACGAGGTAGATCACCCTCCGACGACCAACCCCTGAAAATTTATCTGGCAGAAAAGCTGCCACACGCCTTCACGCGCCAGCAACAACTTTTCCGGCGAGGGTTCCGACCACTTTCCGGCCATTTTTTCGCGAAGCTTTTTCAAGACAGTCTGCTCTCCTCACAATTCCGAGCCTACCCATCTAATTCAAATCAAATTCCGACAACTTTTATATTTTTCCGGCCTGAACAGTGACCTTTTTGGCCATTTTTTTGAAAACATTTCTTCAGGACAGCTTGCTCGCAAGGGAATTCCGATTCTATCCATCCTGGTTACGACAAATTCCGACAACTTTACAATTTTCCGGCGAGCTACAGTGTTTCCGGCGTGTACAGTGTTTCCGACGTAAAATAGTTTTCTATTTTCTGTTGTAAGTAGTGTTTTCCCATCTATTTCTTCAGTTTTCCCACAGGAGTTACTTACTTCCACTATTTCAAGTTAACCCTACTACTACAAATTGTAGCGAAATGGGAACCGATACTTTGAATAGTCGGATGGTTTCTTTAGTAGATTATATTGAGTTCCTAGTACAAAGGATGTAAGCAGACATCTTCTGAGATAGCTTCTGTTGTTCAAACATGTAATAGCGTGACTTGTTTCTCCCAATCTTCATCCTCTGAGTTTTGGGTCATTGATTCAGGTGCATCATATCATATTTCTGGTGACAAATCTCTTTTCACTACTATTTCGTATTCTCAATCTCTTCCAAGAGTCACAATGGCCAATGGGTCTCAAACCATGGCAACTGCAATAGGTCAAGCAAGCCCACTTCTTTCCTTACCTTTAGATTCAGTCCTTTATGTTTCCAATAGTCCTTTTAATCTCATAGCTGTTAGTCGCTTAGTCAAATCACTTAAATGCGCTGTTTTATTTCTTGATAACCATGTTTTTATACAGGAACGTAGTACGGGGCGGATCATTGGTACCGGGCGTGAATTAAACGGACTTTATTACCTTATCCTTGCTAAATCACATGGACTCACATCTTGTCTTCCTTCAACAACTTGTCATGTTACTGATTCACCAGATTTATTACATAAACGGTTGGGATATCCTAGTTTGTCAAAACTTCAGAAAATTGTATCTGGTTTATCAAACTTGTCGGCTGTAGAGTGTGAGTCATGTCAGCTCGGTAAGCATACTCGCTCCCATTTCCCTCGGCGCCTTGATAATCGAGCAGTCACCTTTTACTTTAGTCCATTCAGATGTTTGGGGTCCTAGTCGGGTCAGTTCCACCTTGGGATTCCGCTACTTTGTCAGTTTCATTGATGATTATTCCAGGTGTACTTGGATATTTTTGATAAAAAATCGATCTGAGCTGTTTTCTATTTTCCAGACCTTCCACGCTGAAATTCAAAATCAATTTGTGGTTTCTATTCGCACATTTCGTAGTAATAATGCCCGAGAGTATTTGTCTTCCCCATTTCAGCAGTTTATGAAATCTCATGATATTATTCATCAAACATCTTGTCCGTGCACATCTCAACAAAATGGGGTAGCTGAAGGAAAGAATAGACATCTTATTGAAACTGCTCGTACCCTACTCA